CACTTTCAGTGTAATGAACCCAAATGACTTTAGATGTAATTTAATATGTTGAAGATTGGTACAAATGAGACTCTCTCATCCTGAATCCTTGATTGAACCCTGTTTCTAAATAGAGTCGCTCAGCATGCCCTTTAAAAGGTAGCTAGGTCCGTTGCTGCTTCTTGGACCAATGACAGAATGCAGGTTTGCCAATGATGCTTGCAGACTAGACACCAACAATGAACAACAAACAGCCTACCAAATGAATGACATGATCAATGAACTGGACATCTCAAACCTGCTAAGCTAATAGACTTGAATCAATCCAAACTCAGTAATAAGCACTCCCAGACTCCCAAATCCATTTTTATCATATGACGGATGTCACACTGACCCTTTGCAGCAGGTCTTGTTCTTCAAGACCCAGCTGATGGCAAATTTGTCTTCGCCTCCAACCACTGACACACTGCGACGTCTAAAATGGGCTCCTTGGTTGGGCCAACCTCCATCAGGTCTCTGATTGACCCGCATGAACCAGCAAGGTGGATCAGATGCGCCAAGCCGTCCTGGGCCAGGTGAGTATTTGATTTGGCCTGCAGTCGAGTGGCACGATGGGCAGTCAATGTCAGTCCACACAAGCAGTCTGAGTGACGCAGCTTTGGGGCCCCTAGGTCGTGCAGGCTCCTCAGGTGCTGGAGGGGCAGCAGGAGCACTTGAACTTGCTGCACTTGAACTTGCAGGAGGAGCACCAGCTGGTTCAGCACATGCACCTGAATCCAAGGGCGGTTGAGGCACTTCAGAATTGTCAAGTGACACAGCAGGCTCAGCCAAAGGAGGAACACCAGCTTGTTCAGCACATGCGCCTGAATCCAAGGGCGGTTGAGGCACTTCAGAATTGTCAATTGACACAGGGGGCTCAGCCAAAGTTGGAACACTAGCTTGTTCAGCACATGCACCTGAATCCAAGGGCGGTTGAGGTACTTCAGAATTGTCAATTGACACAGCCAAAGGAGGAACACCTGCTTGTTCAGCAGAAGCATTTGAATCCGCCATCTGACCAATGTCATTTGACATAAGCTGTGGCTGCTCCTCGTCAATGACAACTTCTCTGACACCAATTGACTCAAGCTCCTCCGCAACCTCGATGACAATTGATTCTTCTTTGGCACCATTCTCAGGTGCGTCCTCCTCAGCATGTGTTGGCAGAGCACTGCCATCATTTGACTTCAATCTCTTCTTCGCTTTTGCCTGTGGCTTCACTGCCTTCCTTTTCCCTTTCGGTTTCTCTTTGGCCTCTGCTTTCAACCTCTTCTTCTCTGCGGCCAATTCCTTTTTTTCCTACAGGTGTGTTTCTGTGACAACATCTTTGTTCATATTATTGTAGCTATTCCCCCGCCTACTTAGTTTTTACATCTAACAGATTTTGAAACCACAGTTCAAAGACAACTTGAAGCTTCTGTCCTTCTTCTCACGAATCTTCTCCTTGTGCCACTGCCTCCACTTCTCTTGCTGACGGTAATTGATCTCTTCAGTTGACTTCTTTTTCAGACTCTTGTACTCTTCCTGCTCGTCCTTATCCAACTGCTCTAACAAACAGCTCAGCATGTCTGCTTCACCTTCAAACGCGATATGGTCCTCCTTCTGCTTGCCACACTCAGCCCGATGAAGAACTTGTTCGATGAAGTTGCAATCTCCCACATGTGTAGCCAATGCTTCCAGTGTCTTCTTTTTTGTTGGCTTCTTCCCAGGTTCAATAACTCCAAGAATCTGGCCAACTGAGTGAAGATTGCTGAGTGTGAAGCGGTCTTGCAAGTAAAGGAGGGCATAAGTCAGCAAGGGCTGTTCCGTTCCAGCTGTAGCAATGAAGATACCTTGGTCTCCCCAACGAGCCTTGACAGGCAACACAAGGTAGTCCTCTGGGTTATAACAATAAAGCCACTGGACTGCTCCATCTGGTACCAAAGAGAAGTGCTGCTCCCCACAACCAGTCTGATGCCCCATCGCCAATGGCCATGTCAAAGTGGCCCAGCAGTGTTGGGCCAGCACCAAAACCGGGACTTCAGTTCCAATCTTCTTGATGACCAAGCCTTCCTGGCATAGAACATTCAGCAAAGCAGCCTGCACATGCAAGGGACAGGGGGACAAAACATGACTACTGAAAACAAAATGTCAAAGGGCAAATCATACTTGAGAATTCAACAACTACTTCTGCAGATAAATAGTTATGATCCTTTCTTGGGACAGCTTGTCAAAAGGAGAGGGACCAAGCCTTGATTGGAACCTTTTGCTGCCAAAGCTTTTGACCGAGATAATGCCTTATCCACTGCCAACCTGCTGCTGATTTCCGAAGAGAAGCCACCGTCAATGTAGACCAATCACGATTGGGACTCATGATGGCCTGGAAGTCTTTGGCAAGCTTGTGCCTCCTTGAGTTCATGTGCTTGGCCTCACTAAAGCTCTTGCTGTTGGTCTGGCGGTATTTGGTTCTGAAGATCCCTTCAGTCATTGTTGGGTGAACAACATCACGGGCAGCAAGCAATTCATCTGAGAAATTCTGAATGTGTTGGAATGATGACAAGCGCCTCTTTTGATGATGAGCACCATAACGCTGTTTGGCTTTCAGCCTCTGATGGTAGTCTTCAATCAGCTTAGAATCAGGAAGGCGCTTCAACATGCACCCCAACATTCGAATGGCTCCTGAAGCACGTGGGTCATCAACTTGCCATCCCACAGATTCAAATGTCAACATGACCAAACGCATTGGACTGGGCAAAGTGATCCTGAGATCTTTAGCCAATTGAGAAGCCTGCTCTGCAGTGCTGGTTTCCAGCTGCACAAGTGCTTGCCAATCACGTTTCATTCTCCTCACTTCCATGTGAGGGTCATCTGAGAGCATGCCGGCATAGCAGCTAGCTCTTTGTCCAAGCAAAGAGGTCACAAATTCAAAGCTTGTTCGGGCAATATCACATGGATCAGGGCACCATTGAACCCATGAGTCAAACTGAGACTTGGCTTCAGGACTCACAATTTGGGATAACTCCTGTAGCTCTTGACAAGAAGACCAGCCATCATTGGACATGCACATAAAGTACGCCAAGCAGTCAGATGCACTTTTGACACTTGTGTTGAATCTTGTATATTCTGACCAACATGGAATTGTACACAAGTACAGAACCTTAGTTCTTTCCCAAATCTTCTGGTTCAAGCTGTAGAGAGCAAGCGTGAGACCACCTCCACCGGCTTGTTTCCGAAGAGCATCAAACGTTGCAGCAGCCTGAATCAAATCTGAGTCTGGTTCATCATGTCTAAGTACCAGGAAAGGATAAGCTTGGTGCCATGCCACTCTCGCAGTTGCTGATGACATGCATTCTGCCATGAAAACCACCTCGAATCTTTTGGTTTGGCTCCTTTGAAGTTCCAGGAGTGCATTCGACCCAAAGCTTCCCAGACTGCTCGTTGCTCATCAGCAGTACTGCATGGCATGTCAAAGTCTAGGGCGATTCTGTCAATGTATTTTTGCACCAGTGGATCGTCCTAAACTTTTTAAACTGGTCATCAATGAATACTAATACATAATATTATCAGACAGAGACAAAATAAACCCAACACTTCTGGTTCTCAGCTCTCCAAGACACCAATGTGATTGATGCGAAGAAGCTTTCAAGCGCTGCCTTCTTTTCAGCAAACCATGCTCCTGATCCAAATGGCCGGTAGTTTATCCCCCAGACATACCTCGGTTAGTCATCAGTCAGTCAGTTGACTACATCAAATGACCCCAGTGAAGTTAACATTACTTATGATTAAATAAGAGAAGATAATATATAATGTGGCAACTGAGATACTGGGTTGCAAGCTTTATCTTTGAAAACTGAAGCTGACCTTCAGCATGCTTACAATCATTTGAAAGCCGGTGGTACCAATCCCAATCGCAATGGACAAAGAATCCACCTGGCACACCTTCAAGCAAAAATGCCGCTGCAGCCATATCAGATGGTGATTGATCCATCGTCAAAATAAGGCAACCCTGACAATTGCTCCACTCAATGACATTATAGTAGAGCCCATCTAGATATATCTGATCATTCAAGACCTCAGGACGGCCATGAGAAGGTGTCAAAGGCTGCATGATTGGAGCCAGGTCACTATGACACTTGAACGTTTCCAGATTCACACGCTTTGAAGTGACCACCTCCAACTGGTGTGAGATTGCCTGCAAAAACTTGAAAGAGCTCAACCGCTGCTGCTCTCTCCTCGCAAGAGTGCGCTGCAGTTCTTCATCTGCATCTTGAAAGTCGCCCGGTGTACAAATCTTGGCTGGCCAGAGGCATTGTCCAGGTAAGTTTACCGCAACATTTGACTATGTACATAGGCCACACTGATAAGTAGATCCTGTGTTGAATGGACACTGCCATCAGTCACTATCTGAAAATCACAACAGTTGCACATGGCCACTTGACTCCTGTTCAGGTACATAGACAGCAGTTTGTTCTGCCAATATGTTCCGGATCCAGCTTTTGCATCCTTCACAGCTGTTCTCAAACACACATTGTTTGTCTTGCCCTGCTCAACATATTCCCAGATCTGGTCAATATGAATCCGCTTTGTCACACGTTGAGCACCTTGTTCTGACCTGCAAACGATTTTACAAGGTCAGCCATGTCAGGCCATCACTCCTCCAATTCCTATAACATACATTCAGTCAGACTAAGTCAAGTCAATCAGTAAATATAATATTAATCAACACTTGGCCCTACCTGGCCTGCGGCTGCGAAAGACACGATCAGGGATTTGCTGGCCACAAAACACGGAGACATTACCCAAGATCACAGAATCCAGCATTTGGGCCAATGTCTTGATAAACGTTGATCTCAAATCATCCAGCAAAGCTCTGCTTACGTTCTTCCAAGCATGTTTCTGTTGAGACTTTCTGGCAGAGTCAACTGTCAAGACAAATTCAATGACATCTTCCATGTGCAGCTCAGTGGATGACCACGCACTTCTTAGATTGACCATAGAATCCCACTGCTTGCCCCAAGAGGAGACAAGTCCAGAATGCGAACTCTCTACCACTGCATGAAAATTCATGATCATGCCTCTCGAGTTGATGTGCAATGCCTTACCGCTATGCAATTGTAACTGCACCTGTGGTGCCGCAATTGGCTGATTCAGCAGGAACTGAGCCAAGAAAAATTTAATGTATTCCACGCACGACTGTACTTTCGCTGGTGTTCTTGCCTTTGCAATGCAATCTGTAATAAAGTGCACAAATAGCAGTGAAGTTGCACAATTGGCATCCAATGCAGTTGGCCTCCCAGGTCAAGTGACAAGTGCTGCCATCCCCCACTCAGAAGACTCATAGGCTTTCAACTATATTATATGAGAACTCAAACCCAAACAGTGAGACACATGTTAGTCAACCCCTTACCTTTGAGTCTTACCTCGCACATGAAGCTCGCCCTTCAAATCCAGCTTGATTGCTAGCTCCTTGAAGATTGCAACTGTCTTTGACATGCCTTCTGAACATATGACAGGAGCAGATTCACAAAAGTAGCTCAAATCCCACCAAATAGTTGATTCCTGCTTTTGGGCCAGTTTTGCAGGCCACTTCTCCGTCTGAATGTTGAACACCAACGCTTGGCAAGCACGAGCTTGCAACACTGGCTCATCTGGCTGCTCCCAGGCCATGGTGCAAATGATCGATGGACAATGAAACAAAGTAATTGCAGGCCATGTCACATCTAATTGACTACTAAGTACAGTAAGTTGATTGCTGGCTTCATCTGTGGTGGTTTAAAAGGATCAAATGTTGGCTACTAACTCACATCAAGCGTCAAAGGACTGAGGAGAAGACATACCTTGGTTGACTCTGTCAAGCGTCACATGACAATTCTTCAACTTGATGGGACTGAGCGACTGACCAAAGGAAGCCAAGCATCCACCTGTCAATACAAAAGTCTGAAGTCAGGAATACAAAAGTCTAAGACAGTTCAGTCATATCTGTCAGATTCAATTGACTCAACCACAAAACTATGTTTTTGAAAGGACTCAAACACACACCTCTTGTTTTGACACTCCAGCCAAGAGCAGGCGATGGATTTCAACTTGCTAATACCTAAGGCCTCAGATTTGAATGAAGCGGCTAAGCTGGTCCCTGAAACAAATTGGCCAATCAGCAACTCAACTTGTCACATCCCACCATAGTCTGCCAAAACTAAATAAGATTCCATGACCAAATAAATTCCTGAGCTTCCTAACAAATGCAAACAACACAGGTCTAGACTAGTGACTAGATGTATCAGTCTCAACTAGCGCTGGCAAACTATATCCCAAGTGACTTGAATGAAATGTCAAATGACCAACTGCGTCAAGGCTTTAAGCTTTGACTGCAAATGGAACGGTGCAGTCAAATGTCAAATGACTACATGATCTGGGAGTCATCAACGTCCAGCTCATCAGGCTCTGCTTCAGGTTCCATCTCGATGTCATGATCAAGCTCATCTTCACCAGGTCCCATCTGAATTGGGTGAGGCTGAGGCTCAATCAAATCTCCTTCAGACACCAAGTGCACACTTCTGTGACACATGTTGGGGCATGAATCTGGAGTCAAATGGTGGATCTGGCGCCATTCGCGAATGCAGTGCTGGTGGAACGTGTGGGCACATGGAAGAGCATCCACTGGAGCATCCCTGAGCGGATTGAAACAAATCAGACATTGTGGCACTTGTGGTGGTGCCATTGCTCCTGCTTTGGACCTTGTTGTCCCAGACTCCACTGCCACATTGCCACCATCACCTGACATGGGAGCTGGAGGTGGGCCACTTGGCATGGCTTCAGAAGCTGCAACCAGTGGGCCACTTGGCATGGCCGCAGGAGCTGGAGGTGGGCCGCTTGGCATGGCTACAGGCGCTGGAGGTGGGCCACCTTGCAGGGCTGCAGGAGCTGGAGGTGGGCCACCTTGCAGGGCTGCAGGAGCTGGAGGTGGGCCACTTTGCACTGTCACAGGACGAGCTGGCGGTGGGGCTGGCTGATTGACATGTCCTCCAGCCTTTGCAGCAGCTCCACTTGACACAACTCTTGGAGTGGTCCTGGCTGCAACTGTAGTGCCCGCTGGAGGAGCAAACAGGAAAGGCAAAGCTGTTGGCGATGGCGATGATTGCACTTCAACAGTAGCTGGAGAACTGGCACCAGCAGTACTTGGACGTGTTGGTGTAGACTGGGCAGCATCTGAAGGAGTCTCACTGGCTGTCGTAGTAGTCGTCGGAGTCGTTGAAGAGGCATTCGAAGCGATCATGCCAGTGAGAGTCTGTTGGCCAGCTGGTGGTGCTGCAGCTGTTGATGCCCTCCTTCCTCGAGGCCCTTTCTTAGGCAGCAGCCATTGAGCTTGCCAACCATGCTCTTCAGCAAGCTGAAAGACATGAACATCATTCAGGTTCAATGGCAGCTTCTCGCCCAGCTTGTTGAAGAATGCCTCTTTGCCACCATGTGCTGCACTGACTCGACCCAATCCTGGTTGCCCTGCTGCTGCAAGCTCTTCATAATAGCGAATGCCTTGTCAATTGACAAATGATTGATTTGGTAGTAAGTTTGGCACAACAATCCTTCCAGAGTTGACAAATATAACTAATGAATCATACCATCATCATACCATTGAATCATGGTTGAAACAATCATGAATGAATCAATCAATGATCAACAAAAGTCACAATGTAACTATCATATCAGTGAAAGTCTCAAACAAAACCATATCTAAACACAAAGCCATGCTGCCCAAATCGCACAGATTGCTGTTTGGCTTAATCCTCGTCAGGATGTACAGCAAGCCCATCAAGCCAGCAGGAGATAGATCAGCAGTCCATGAAGAATCAAGGAATGGGCACAAAGTGGCAACCGTCTTTGACAAATGACACCTTGGGACTTTGCGAATGCAGCTTGCCGAGCTGGAGATCTTGGTTTGCTCCGTCGAGGGCTGAAGCTGCGGTGCTACCGCCACTGGAGCAGGAGCTGCAGCAGGTGCAGCTGCAGCTGTGGAGTCACGCCCACGACGGTCACGCTCATCATCTTCTGACGATGACTCCATCATGCCTCCATTTGGCATCATCCCAGGCATCATTCCAGGCATCATCATACCTGGCATCATCATGCCTGCCTGCATGCGTTGCCTCTTAGTGCGACCCATGGCTTCTGCTTAGACCAGGTCTTCAAGTCAATTGACACAATTGGAAAAGTCAAATGACAAATGACACTTTGAGCCCAGAGATGGATTTGGTCATTGAGCTTTGAGATTTTTTGAGATTTGAGTGTTGGTCATTGAGAGTCATCTAGTGTCAAATGAGATCTATCGAGATCTATTGAGATCTATTGAGATCTATCGAGATCTATTGAGATTTCTCCTGTCCTAAAATAGTTTCCCCTTTCATTTGAGTATTCCAGGGTTGTTTCCCATTTGAGATGTTTTGAGATCTATTGAGATCTATTGAGATTTTTTGAGATTTTTTGAGTTCGAGCTTTGATATTTTGAGTTTGAGATTTGATATTTTGAGTTTGAGATTTGATATTTTGAGCTTGAGATTTGATGTTTTGAGTTTGAGCTTTGCTGTTTTGAGTTTGTGCTTCGAGATCTATTGAGATTTCTGTTTTGCTGGCTGCTGATGTCCTTGTGTGGTTTGAATCTCTTACACTGAGGTCTCTTTGTCCCTGTTTTGTCCTGTATTTTTCACCACAGTCTTTTAGCAGCCCTGTCGTGTAGCTGTGTTCAGTCACATTGTGTCACGTCAGTTCTTTTTATGTTCGGTTTTATACCGCTCATAATTAAACACACTATTCAATAGGACTGCAACTGACAAGTGACAACACAGACTGCACATGGCAAGTGACAACACAGACTGCAAATGGCAAGTGACACACCAAGTGATGACTCTGATGTGCAACACGTCACATGGCGCTGCACCTTTACTCCATGGACTCCATGTGCAAGACAATGAAGCGCCTGCCATGGTTCAAGATCAATCGCATGGCATGGTGACAATCATTCATAGATGGCCTTTTACTGTTAGTTGGTTGGTTAATAGATCAGATACCCTCAAGTGTACAACCAATCAATAGACTGGATACCCTCAAGTGACCCATCATCTATTCTTCCCAAATGGACACCTTACCAATGACATGACTGCCGCAAAGAGTGACTGACTTCAGTTCTGCTAGTTTCCTACTTCGGACTAGAGTCTTAGAGTGCAAACAGTCTAGACAATAC